GGGGGGGGGGGGAGGAGGCTATTTTCAAATTTTATAAAGATTTGATTTGTAGACAATTATCTTCTATTGTTGACCGTTTGAAAAGATGCTCATTGAAACCCTACGCGGAGGGCGTATGAATACATTGTGACATGGCAGGATGTAAGCGGTTCAAAAAAAAAAAAAAGAACAAAAAAAACAACCAACCAAACAAACAAAATTCAACGGTTTATTACGTATTTATTATTCTTTCATTACACTAGACAAGAAAACCATTCACGGGGCTATCTTATTGGAAAATTAAAATTATAACCTTCCAAATCGATATGTTGAGCTATGTTTGATTTCATCACAAGTCTGACACTGAGCTAGGATCATTATTTTAAAAAAAAAAATACTTTTTTTAATCACGAGTTATCGTTCTTGAAAACGGGTTCTTTCCCTTTAACTATTTTAAAATCATCAGGGTTGGGGGGGGGGGGGGAGATCGCGATGCAGTTGTAAGCTAAGGAAATGAGTCATTATGATTAATGATTATCAACGTAATCAAATCGACGTAAACACAGCAACACGAGTTGTCCACAAATCGCTTTCAGCAAATTAAAAAATTTAAAAAATTAACTTGGAAAGAAAACTGTATTTCCGTTGCAGTCGCTTTTGAGACCGTAACCTTTGGATGAAGGATGGATTCACTGATTTTTAGAAAATGGATTGCCAGGCTCAAAGAACAGCGCACTTTAAGCAATCAAAATGGCCGGTGTGGATTGAACAATGATCATGTAATATTGTAAATCCTTGACGGAGGCTTGTAGTTAACATGAAATAACATGGGGGACGGACCATGTGAGGGTGAAAGTGTACTTCCTGAAAATGAAATTAACAAGAAATAGCATGGAGAAAAGACAATGCGAAAGCGCACTTCCTGATTCTGTAATTAACATGATTTTTTTTTTTTTAAACATAGAACAAAGTTAACAAAGTAATAAAAAAAGCTTTCAAAGGACTGGGTTTTTTTTTTGTTTTTTGTTTTTTTGGGGGTGGGGGGCGTTAGACTTCTTGGGCAAAAAATCAACAATTATTGTACGGTCTTCTGGTGCAATGACTAACTTAATTCATTTTGAAAAATGATGAAAACAGTTTTACTCGGTATCAACATACTTTAATCGGGGCAAGGTTATATTTATAAATGCAAACACAAATACGATCTCTTCAAAATAAATATGACATTATTTGCATTTTTAAATCTACAAACAAATTATACACAAAATAATATAGAAACTATTTAGGCATTTCAAAACAAAAATAATAATAAAATGCTACTTTTGCGTGCCCAGTGATATGTAGTTGGTGCTAATTTTTTAACCAAAATTTCTATTTTTAAAAAAAATTAAGATATGTAGATGGGTCTTGTGTCATGTCCTAAATACGAATGGGGCGACCTGATGGAGACCAGCTTCAGCAAGGCCCCCTGCCCCCTCGTTTTATTAAATCACACGAAGGTTTTCGAGGAGGAGCCACACTCCGGTGAATACGAGGATAATGTCTGTAAACACAAGGCATCATTTTATAGAATGATTTACCAAAAAAAAAAAAAAGCTGGTAAATTTATACTGTAAAAATTATACAGTCATTGTCTGATAGAATTGCCGTGACATTAAAAACATATGAGCAGTAGGAGAACACTTAAAAAGATATCTCGCCAGTGTAAGACACTAAAAAAACATACTACAAAAAAAAACAACACTTACTGTAAGACATGGTGAGCACTGAATACAGCACTTATTGAAGACACACTAGCGTGCCAGTACCACAGCTAACTTGCCTGGTCACGTAATAACCTACTGTAATGGTATGACGTTGTATCTTACCAGTACCGTAGTATCTCGGGCGACTACTATGACGTAGCAACTTACCAGCACCGTGGCATCTCGGGCCCAATACTATGACGTAATAACTTACCAGGACCGTAGCATCTCGGGCCCAATACTATGACGTAGCAACTTACCAGGATCGTAGCACCTCTGACCTATATTATGACGTAGCAACTTACCAGCACCGTGGCATCTCGGGCCCAATACTATGACGTAATAACTTACCAGGACCGTAGCATCTCGGGCCCAATACTATGACGTAGCAACTTACCAGGATCGTAGCACCTCTGACCTATATTATGACGTAGCAACTTACCAGCACCGTGGCATCTCGGGCCCAATACTATGACGTAATAACTTACCAGGACCGTAGCATCTCGGGCCCAATACTATGACGTAGCAACTTACCAGGATCGTAGCACCTCTGACCTATATTATGACGTAGCAACTTACCAGCATCGTGGCATCTCGGGCCCAATACTATGACGTAATAACTTACCAGGACCGTAGCATCTCTGGCCTATATTATGACCCATGAAAGCCTCGGTGTTCAAAAAGTCGTCCATGTTTTTCTCCTTGTAGAACTTATCCAAAGTGTTATTATATAGACTCGCCTCTAGATTGAAATACAAAGTCAAATTTAACAAGTCATTCCTAAATGATTAACTCAATGACATTTTTAATCATTTCAAGCATATCAGCGAAGACATTTTATTTAAATTGATATGCTTTTAAAATTTATATTTTTAAAAAATGTATATGTCTTGCTTGCTCTGGCGTATCTATATATAGCCTGCGTGGTACTGTTGTTTGACCTATTTTTCGCTGGCGAATTATATATAGACAGATTCTTTGCTTTGTCCCATTATATATCAACGCGAAAGAGGCCATCTACATTAAGTCCCATAATGAGTACTCACTGAAACTGAATCTTAGGAAATGGCCCCAGGGAGCCGTCAACTTACGCTACTTATACCCTTATCAAAGCAACCCCCACCCAAGCCCGAAAAGTCCCCTTAAATATCGGGCCGCTAAGCGGCACGCTGGAGATCTCCTCCGGGTAGGACAGCCCCCGCCCGTAACTTAACTCGACTCACTTTCCTTACGAGTGGGAGGGGGGCATATCAACCTATGGGTATCCGGTCGGCCGGTGTAGCACAAGAGCAGCAGTTGACTTCACAGGACTCAGGTGTGGCACAAGAGCAGCAGTTGACTTCACAGGACTCACCGAAGAGTTAACGCTGCATTAAACCCCACTACAAGTCCCAACTTAAGAGGACATCAATTCCCATAGACATCGGGACTCACCGAGGAGTTAAAGCTTCATTAAACCCCACAAGTCCCAACTTAAGAGGACATCGATTCCCATAGACATCGGGACTCACTGAGGAGTTAAATCTTCATTAAACCCCACAAGTCCCAACTTAAGAGTACATCAATTCCCATAGACATCGGGACTCACTGAAGATGTTGGCTACGTGTACGGTGTTACTCATGGCGACATCGCTGGTATCATTGTTTGGGTAGAACATCTTAAAGCCCTTATCATAGGTCATCCTGGCCCTGAAACTGCACAGCCTGTACAAAAAGGGGGCGGTCTGCCTGATCCAGATCTTGTAGACCTTCTCGCGCAACATCATGCACGCGCATGCGTGCTCCGAGTAGTTTGTCTGCTGTTCTGACATCGACGAGCAGATCTTGAAGTTCGTGTAGCAGTACTGAAAAATATATTATGTATAAAAAAATATATAAACATATAACACTCAATATAAAATATATAAAAAGATATAAAACTTTACAAAAAACATATATAAATATATACAAATATATAAAACTTATATAAAAATATAAAAAAAAAATATATTAAAAGACGTATAAAAACTCAAAATAATTAAAACATACACAAATATTTTAAAATTTGCATCTTTTCTAGTTGGTTGTGCGTTCATGACTGAAGAAATAAAGGCTAAGTTCATTATTGGAGTTCGTGTTGGAAGGGTTCAGTTCATGGAGCAATGGTGCTGGAGGGGGGCAAAGTAATTTGTTCATATAATCAATGTCCGTATGGAATGACACTCTATGGATGCTATGGCTTGAGTCGCCTCTCACTTCAAGTTGTTGGAGATCTAAAGATACATATTGCCGCTAAGATTCGTGTGTTTTTTTTTAACCTGTTGGCATGCAATTGACGGGTTCAGGGGAAAAACCAGTGATGTCAGTTTTTCAAAATTTCTATGTTATCTCTATGTTATGCTACATTCTATTTAATAGATTAATGTGATACATAGGTCCAACTGAAAAAGCAGCATACTCAATAAATAAATACGTAGACATCTTGATATGTTCATACTTTTATGAGGAATTTTCAAACTTTAAATTTAATTTTCTCAAAACTCTCAAAACCTGACATCACTGGTTTTTCCTTTGAGCCCTTCAAATTATATTGAACGCCGTTGATGCTGCAGTAGCTTAATACCTCATCTTATCACATCTCATTAATATGAGGGGTAATAGCCATTCCATATTTTATGGGGATATTAAAGAAAAAAAGGTTTGTTTTAGCGAGCACATAGAATTATCCTCTACCGTAATTCTTAGCACATGGAATCATCCTCCACCGCAATTCTTAGCACATGAAATTATCCTCTACCTTAACTCTGAGCATATGGAATCATCCTCTACCTTAACTTTGAGCATATGGAATCATCCTCTACCTTAACTCTGAGCATATGGAATCATCCTCTACCTAACTATGAGCACATGGAATCATCCTCTACCTAACTCTTAGCACATGGAATCATCCTCTACCTTAACTCTTAGCACATGGAATCATCCTCTACCTAACTATGAGCACATGGAATATGGAATCACCCTCTACCTAACTATGAGCACATGGAATCATCCTCTCCCTACCTATGAGCACATGGAATCATCCTCTACCTAACTATGAGCATATGGAATCATCCTCTACCTAACTATGAGCATATGAAATCATCCTCTACCTAACTATGAGCATATGGAATCATCCTCTACCTAACTATGAGCATATGTAATCATCCTCTACCGTAACTCTTAGCACACGGAATCATCCTCTACCTAACTCTTAGCACATGGAATCATCCTCTACCGTAACTCTTAGCACATGGAATCATCCTCTACCTAACTATGAGCATATGGAATCATCCTCTACCTAACTCTTAGCACATGGAATCATCCTCTACCTTAACTCTTAGCACATGGAATCATCCTCTACCTAACTATGAGCATATGGAATCATCCTCTACCTAACTATTAGCATATGGAATCATCCTCTACCGTAACTCTTAGCACACGGAATCATCCTCTACCTAACTCTTAGCACATGGAATCATCCTCTACCGTAACTCTTAGCACATATAATCATCCTCTACCTAACTATGAGCACATGGAATCATCCTCTACCTAACTCTTAGCACATGGAATCATCCTCTACCTTAACTCTTAGCACATGGAATCATCCTCTACCTAACTATGAGCACATGGAATCATCCTCTACCTAACTATTAGCACATGGAATCATCCTCTACCGTAACTCGGTGGTCGGCAAGCTCATTAGACAAAAGAGCCAAAAAATCACCAGGAAGACGATTAACATTTTTTTTTGAGCTACAACTCCCTTTTCAAGAACTTGTCAAGAACCAAGTTTTTTCCGAGTTAAAACCGATTAGTGGCCGACTGACCGAGCCGCACTCACGTCACTAAAGAGCCGCACGCGGCTCGCGAGCTGCGATTCTCCGAACACTGCTTTTACTCTAGTCAGTATTTACGAATTATTCTGTACATGTGATAGATCCAAGGGTTTTCACCTGGGCGCGGGAATATCTGGAGCTGTTATATAGTGCAGGAAATATATAATACATTTGATGGATTGGTCGCTTCATCGCATGCAACGGAGTTCGGAGGCAATTATAAAAATTAAAAAAAAAATTGCCGGAACCAAGTGCAAACTAACCTGACCTGGTTTCAAGAGTTCAGAGAGTCCTGATCTAATACATGGACATCATCTGAAATAAGCTTCATGGCCGGACCAACCATGTCAAACACAGGCAGATACTGTAACACGTTTGTTTTTTTGTTTTTGTTGTTTGTTTTTTTTAAGCTCACCGTTATCCACACGTCCTTGGCGATGGAGGGATGATAGTGCCCCAGTCCTTGCCTGCACAAGATGTCGAACAGAACGAACATGGGGACGGTGCTGGCGGTCTCTGCGGCTTCGAGCACGAGTCTGCCACTGACGTTGAACGGGTCATTGGCCGCGACGCACTTCTCACAGTGCGGCTCGAAGTGGTTCAGCTCAAGTCGAACACCCACAACATCTGCGAAACGTGAACACCACCATCAGATGGAGAGGCTGATGCGCCTTTACATCAGCAGTTCTCAACCTGTGGGTCGCAACCCCTTATGGGTGGGGGGGGGGGGGCCGAAGGACTGTTAAACAGGTGTCACCTTAGACCATTGGAAAACACATATTTATNTTTACATCAGCAGTTCTCAACCTGTGGGTCGCAACCCCTTATGGGTGGGGGGGGGGGGGTCGAATGACTGTTAAACAGGTGTCACCTTAGACCATTGGAAAACACATATTTATGAGGTAGCGACGACAATAATTTTATGGTTCTGGGGGTGGTGGGGGGGGTCACCACAACATGAGGCGCTGCATTAAAGGTTTGCGGCATTAGGAATGTTGAGAACCACTGTCTTAAATGGGCTATTCCTTAATGAGTACCTAAGTCAGATGACAAGGGATGTCCGTTGGAGCCCGATAGACAACAGTCTCTGGACACGCTGAGAATTCATTCAGATACAATGGGGTCTAGTTTAAGAATAGATGCAATTTTAACTCACGCTCAGATCCTTTATGTTACCTTAAACAAAAAACACGATTTAACTTGATAAGGGGAAGCTACACGGCCAATTAACTTGCCTTGTGTAGAACAGATGATCAAGAACGCAAAGAACAGAGTTATCTTCTCCAGCATTTTGACATCTCTGACTAGTTCTTTCAGAGATCTGGAAAAAAATAAAATTTAAAATAACGAAACAAAAAATATCTTCATAAATTAAATGAACACGCTGAAGCCACGATAATGCCAGATTCCCCGCAAAATGATTTCCCCTCAATTTATTTACACAAAATGCGCACCATACAGATATGAGTGCCCTTCGATCTAATCAATTGGTTTTGTCCGCCAATTATGTTTAGCAAAATTCAAATTTCACCTGGTATAATGTGAGTAACTTTTAAACAATGGACCTACAAACAGTCCTATAGGCAGTCCTACAAACAGTCCTAGAGGCAGTCCTACAAACAGTCCCAGAGGCAGTCCTACAAACAGTCCCAGAGGCAGTCCTACAAACAGTCCTAGAGGCAGTCCTACAAACAGTCCTATAGGCAGTCCTACAAACAGTCCTAGAGGCAGTCCTACAAACAGTCCTAGAGGCAGTCCTACAAACAGTCCTAGAGGCAGTCCTACAAACAGTCCTAGAGGCAGTCCTACAAACAGTCCTAGAGGCAGTCCTACAAACAGTCCAAGAGGCAGTCCTACAAACAGTCCTAGAGGCAGTCCTACAAACAATCCTGGAGGCAGTCCTACAAACAGTCCTATAGGCAGTCCTACAAACAGTCCTGGAGGCAGTCCTACAATCAGTCCTAGAGGCAGTCCTACAATCAGTCCTAGAGACAGTCCTACAAACAGTCCTGGAGGCAGTCCTACAAACAGTCCTGGAGGCAGTCCTACAATCAGTCCTAGAGGCAGTCCTACAATCAGTCCTAGAGACAGTCCTACAAACAGTCCTAGAGGCAGTCCTACAATCAGTCCTAGAGACAGTCCTGCACCATACCCGTGACTCTTTAATAATTAATATAATAGTCGCCTGCCCTTAAAGAAAAAAAATATTTACCTTAGTTCAACCGTCACGCATGACGTTTGTTACATGAAAGACATTTTTTCCCACCCAGTAGGGTTGATATAAAACATGTGGGTGTGGAGGGGAAGGGTGGTTTTGAAATGGAAGCAAGACACACCAGAAGCAATATATAGATATAAGAGATAACGTATGACACTTAAGTCTAGAATGAAATTGAAGATTGACCAAATCGACGGGCAAAATAGCATAGTAGAAAAAACGCAACATACACACTTCCACCGAGTCCTAGTCCTCGTAGGTCCTGCTAGGACCTTGTAAGTCTTAATAAGTCCTAGCAATGCTCATCAATGTTCGTCTAAAAATAATCATGATGATAAGACCCAGATACCAACAAAACAGCAACAGGCCTACGTCAAATTGTAAAGTAATGTCCAGAAAAAAGTGCATTTAGATTGCCTTCTGTAAAACGATTTTTAAAAAAAGAAAAATCAAAACAAACACAACGGAAATGAAAGTCTTCTGTGTTTTGTGACGAAGGCGGCTTATAATAATCGTATCCGAAATTGCGTCATTGAATTTAGTGCAAAATGATCCTGCAACAGTTATTTGTGTATCCCATTCCACGTTAACATAACATGCCCAAAACTTTCATAAGGGTCGTTCGCAAATTACATCACGCAAAAAAATGACCTTTTTAGACCCCTTCCCCCCTGTCACAAAGTGTCGCAGATTCTTTACCCCTCCCCCCCCCCCCAGTGTCCCGTCACACCTAAAAAAACATACATACAATTTTCATAACTAAACGTTATTATTATTTTTCGATATGCGCCGAAGGAGGGCACGACTGAGTTTCACGGTACCTAGAATACCTCAATTTCGACATCAATTTAATTTTTTTTTTTAAATTAATTGAATAAAGATTATTCAAAATTAGAAAATTTTAGATTTAAAAAAAAAAA